GTCACAACTTCACTTGTTTATATTCCACTCGTCAACAGAAAGAAGAGCTCCATACGGTGACAACACAAGGAAGCGCAAGTTTAGAGGCCATTGACATCCTTCGGGAGAGAAAATTAATGAACAAAAGATTTTAGGAAGGTAGAGTTAACGATAACTTTGTCTATTGCCTAAAAAACTCGGGAAAAACAAGAATGGAGCAAGACCAACAAAAAGGAGACGCTTGGATCGAGGATCTACCGCTAAGCGGAGGAAAGGGGATCGCAATAAAGAAAGTGGAGGTAAAGGGTTTTCGCCAATAAAGCGACGACGTTGTCAGTGAGTGATATCCATTTCGAATTAAACAATACAACTTTGGGGGCCTGGCAGTCAGGAAGTAAGGCAGACGGTTAAGCAAACCGCCACGGAAATTCGGCGCTATGGCCAAAATGTACTAGAAATCTACTTGAGATGCCACATGCGACCAGAGATAGGCGTCCACAGTTTGCTTAGATAACATGGGTTTAATCAAAAAGAGGAGCCGTGAAGTCAAGGCCTGATCTGCAAGCATGGCAGAGCTTAGGCGCTCTGCCTAGTAAAGCGTTAGTGTACGTGCCTCTAGGGCCTTGAGAAATAGCGCCTGGAGTGAAATGCACACAGGGAGTGGAACCGAGTCAAATCGATCAACCAGAAATATATGGAACGGGTCAACTCACTGGTGATGCCGACTACGATGCCGGCGAAACGTTTGACAATGTACCAAGTTCACTGTCTGAAGCTGGGAATCATGACAACTACTATGGCAGACGACTTCGGACTAGAGCCGTTCTACTAAGTCAAACTGACAACAAGACCAAGTTGCGACAAAGAGGTCAACCCACTTCTATATTTTTGTACACTCAATGTTGTATGGTGCCTTAGGCTAGCATTCAGTGTCCTACTAAAATGAAAGTCACTTGATAACCTGTCAATAGACAATTAATAAGCATTTATAAAATAATTATCGAAAGATATTTGGAAACAAAGAATATGGAAACTTTATATAATCCATAAATTTATTCTTAAGAAGCCTTATTAAATGCCTGTTATTCAATATTCGTGTGAATGATCATATTTTAGCTGACTTTAAAATAGTAATATCCCTTCGATAATTTATTTTGACTTACATTCACTATTGGTGTCTAGTTCAGGTGGGAGAATGTTCACTCCGAAATCGATTACTACGGAGCCAGGTTTTATCCATTCGCTAGATATAACACCAACACGTCCTATGGCGCATACAAGGATATCAGCTCGACCTACTTCGTCAGCAAGATCACGAGTTGCCTCCTGGCATATCGTTACGCTAGCACGACCCAAAGAAGATAAACAATCTGCCACGGGAGCACCTGCTAGTCGGCCGTGGCCAATTACTACACAACGAGCCCCGCATTTAGGATGAACAGAGGTACGCGAGAGGAGAGCAAGGCAACTGAGCACCGTACATGGAAGATGAACAAGCTGCAATGGTCGCCAGGGGAGGGAGGAAAGTGACGGTGGTAAACTTCGAGAATTTGAGCCAATCGAAATTAGAGGTGGGTGTACGTAAGGATCCGAGACAGAAGTCGTAGATAACATATCTTGGTTGCTATGTGTTCTAGATGCGACTGATGGCAAAGGCTTCAAGAGATTCGAACAAGAAGATTTTTGGCTGGATGAAATGATGAAATTCGAGGAAGGAAGCAGAGGGAAGTGAGGCCAGTCGGGAGGCATGAAATCGATAAAGCCCCCACGACTCAGTAGAGCAGTATTTTTGAACGACAATCTTTAAAAAGTAAATGAAAACGTTAAGGAAGGGAATGAGAAAATAGGAATATATAAGGATCCTAACATGAAGAGATGTTATACTTCAAAGTAGACAATCACTTGGCTGAGGTATAAGCAAGTGAAGAGTATAAGTCACAAGCTTTCAAATGTTTTTATCTTAAAATTTTCGAGCAAATAACTTATCTATTTCAAGCCTAAGTAAACTTTTAGTGCATGTAGTAAAAGTTAACTTGCTGCCATGGGGATAAAAACTCGAAGCAAAAATGCTATAATTTAGTGTAAATTCGAGTATGCGATTGCGCGTGATGCAGAAGAGCGAAAGTGCGAATTGCTTTTCCTCTATCTGATTAACTAGAACTATTATTTCAGATCAGGAATCAGGATGACAACCAAAAGTGGATTGTCCTGCCCTCATGAGAACTGAGCAAACAATTGCTAATGTTACTAAGCAAATGGAATATCAAGGTGATAACAAAGGAGAAGAAACACTTTTCACCAACCTGCCGACGCAACACAAGAA